ATCAAAATCTAGGAAATAGAAACAATATGACAGGGCCAGAGGTGTATAAACAACTAAATTGGCAAAATTATTCAAATAATGGGGCGAACGCAGCTAATTATTTTAATGGACCAGATCCAATCAGAAGGTGCTTTAATTGTGGTTCGCCAGCTCATTTTAGAAATAACTGTCCATTGTTGGCGTCAAAAAACGAGTAGAAGAACAGGCTGCTGGACCTGTTCAGAACATATTTAATAAACCCAGTGTACACGGAAATGTTAGGTCAATTAATTTACCCATAGCTTAGGTAATGCATATCCTGGTGGAAAAATAGAAATAATCGGGGAAGTAAATGGTATAAAAACTCCTTTAATAATTGATACTGGAGCAAGCATTACGGTGGTGGATAGGAAAACAATAGTATCGGGAGAAGTAACACCAATTGATATAAATTTTAAACTCGAAACAGCTGACGGGGCATATGTAAAATTATTAGGTAATGCGGTGGTGTTGATAAAAGTTGGGACGATAGAATTAGCTCATAATTGTTTGGTGGCAGATAGGTTATGCTCCCCAATTTTGATAGGGGTAGATGTCATTAAAAAACTAAAAACTGTTATAAATTTAGATAATAATACAATAACTTTTAAACACAGTAAAAAAGGGTAATTTTTAAATTGGGTGATAGGAATAAATTAGAGCAAACTAATCTATGTCACATGGCTCCGGTCACGTTTTTAAATCAACAAGGGAATGAAAGTATCATAAATTTGGCAAAAGAATAAATTCAAGGTTTGATTTCGAAAGTCGGCGTTGCGGCTGAGGTCCCAGCGGATGGGGATTGTGGGGCACATGCAGTGAGTTTTTGTCTAGAGCAATTTGGTATAGATTTGTCAACATTGGAGGTTTTGAATTTATTGTCGATTCCGAAGTGTAAAACCGGATATCAGTTATTTGACGAGGATATTGCTGCGGTATGTGACTTGTTTAATAAAAATCTTATTATAATTCACGAGAATACAAATATACAGAATGTAAAACAAAATATCGGGATTGTTTACTATAAATGCGAGCGGCAGTATTTGTGTATGTTGCATAGTAATCAACATTGGAGGCCGAGTGTTTTTAATGATAAAATAAATAAGATGCTCGTGGCGCAAATACTAGTTTATGATCGGATTCCTAATATAGAAACAATTAGTACTAAGATAGGGAAAAAGTATTTTGAAAATTATTCGAGTTATTTTATTGATCCCGCGGGAGGTGAATTAGGAGTACGATATAATGAAGAGCAAAAGGGAAATAGTCTGAGTAATCATAATATCGTGAAGAATGAGTGTTCTACAATGTCAACCGGTTATTCAGTAAGGTGTGTAAACACGGATAAGGAAGTTGCTGAGACAGCATATTACAATAATAGTAACGCGTGTCGAACATTAGTAAATGTAAAAAACGATCGCGTAAATAGTGTCGAGTCAGTTGTTAATAAAAACAAAAATGACCTTAGTCTAGATTATTCAGATCAGAGACTAGGTCAAGCATATAGAAATAAAATAAAATACGATACGTCAAATAATTCGTTGAATGTAATTATTAATAAAACGAGAGCTGAAAAGGAAGTTAATAGTGTAGCACATCTGCTTAAAATGGGTATAAATGATATTGGAATGATAGGAACCAAAAAATTCAATATAAATCCCGATCTATCAATAGAACAAAGGGGAAAATTACACACACTTTTAGCAAGGCATATAGATTGCTTTGCTAGTGGGCCGATGGACCTAGGGGCAATAGATATAGGGGACGTTGCAATACCTACAGTTTCAAATGATCCAGTAAGCTTACCACCATTTCGATTATCGCTTAGTAGTCAAAAGGAGCTGCAGAGACAAGTGGATGAGTTTTTAGAGGCGGGACTTATTGTTTCGTCCAATTCAGCATACGCGAGTCCGGCGTTTTTAGTAGATAAGGCAGATGGATCCAAAAGAATGGTAATTGATTATAGAGCCATAAATAAATTAATTCCTCATCAAAATTTTCCTATACCACACATACAGACAATTTTTGACTGTTTGGAAGGTTCAGTTTTTTTCAACGTTATGGACATGCAGAATGGATTTTTGAACATTTTGTTGGGGAAAAGTGATAGACATAAGTTAGCCTTTATAACACCATTTGGGTTATATGAGTGGACTCGGTACCCATTCGGTTATAAGAATAGTCCACGACAGTTTTCAAAAGCGGTTGCAGAAAATTTATATGGGTTATTGTATTTGGGTACAATTAATTATGTTGACGATATAATAAACTATGCTAAAACTTTTGAGGAACTATTGGTAGTTTTAGATAAAGTATTAACACGTATAAAAATAGTGGGGTTTAAGCTAAAACCGTCAAAGTGCAAATTTGGATATTGTGAACTTAAGATTTTGGGGAAAATAGTAAATAAAGAGGGCATTAAGGCAGATCCAAAAAGTTTGGAGGCGGTTCAAAACTTTCCGACTCCTAAAACGATAAAAGACGTGCGAAGCTTTCTAGGGATGTGTAATTATTTTCGGAAATTTATACCACGGTATGCAGATTTGGCATGTCCGATTACGGAATTAACAAAGGGGGTATTCAAAACGAAAAGAGATACCATCAAATGGACCAACGAGCATCAATCTGTGTTTGAGGACTTAAAATTAAAATTAACTAGTCCACCGTTATTACGACATTTTAATCCTAAATTAAAAATTATTATATGGACTGACGCAAGTAAGATTGGGATAGCGGGAACGCTTTTGCAGGAAGATTACGAAGATGGGACGTTACGTCCGGTGGCTTATGTCTCGAGACGCATATCTTCAACGGAAGAAAATTATAGCGCAATAGAGTTAGAGCTGTTGGCTATCGTGTATGTGGTGGAACAGTTTCGAACGTATACATACGGGGAGCATATTGAGATTTGGACGGATCATGCACCACTTAGGTATTTGGAAAATATAAAAAGTTTTTCTACAAGGATCCAGAGGTTAAAAAATAAATTGGTGGACTACGATTATGTAATTAAGTATAGAAAAGGACTGTTGAACCAGGTGTGTGATGCGATGTCTAGGTATCCGGTAGAAATATCATCATCGGTGAACGATCAAGTTGCGGGAGAAAGTATGTTATCAGTAGCGCGGATAAAGCAAGTAAATATGCAAATTTTACAGGCAAATGATACCTTTTTGTCGAACATAATACAATCAATTAGTAATCCGAAATTAACCAGCCATGTTTGGGTAAGAAAATCATAAGATTATTTTTTTAACGAAGAAAATGTTTTGCTGTACAAAGGGAGTATAAAAAAAGCTAGTAGGGACGTAGTCGCGCTGCCCAAGGTGTTGGTTAGAGATACGTTATTGAATTTTCATGATCATTCATTTTCTGCTCATTTAGGGGTTGAAAAAACATATAAAAAAATTTCGGAAAGGTATTATTGGCCAGGAATGTATAAAGAGATAAAAAACTATGTGACATCGTGTGTAAGTTGTCAAAAAAGAAAAGTAGATAACACTCCTACTTATGGATTTATGCAGACCGCACCTAAAATTACAGGACAACCTTTTGAGCGTTTTACGATAGATTATGTAGGGCCTATAAATCCGGCTAGTAGTGGTTGTGCGTATATTTTGGTAGGGACCTGTGCAACTACTAAATATGCGATTGCCAGAGCGTGCAAACATGCGGACAGTAAAACTACGGTGTCATATCTCTTAAAGGTAATTTCACAGTTCGGGGCAATTGAGGAAATTCATTCAGATAGGGGGTTACATTTTACGGCAAAAATAGTTAAAGATTTGTTACAGTCATTAGATATTAAGAATACTAATTCTGTAGCATATCGTCCACAAAGTCAGGGACAAACGGAAAAATTTAATGGAACGCTAGTTGATATGCTGAGTCACTTTGTACACGAGAAGCCTAAGCGTTGGAGCCAGTATATAAAATATGTACTGTTTGCATATAATTCAGCGGTAAATGACACAACAAAATATTCTCCTTTTTTTTTATTACATGGATATCAGCCCAGATCCATTTTTGACAATAATTTAATTAGAACAGATGTGGAGCCTGAAATTTTGATTGAACTTGAAAAATTAAGGGAGATTAGGGACGACTTACCAGGTTGTTTACAAGCACAGAACTTAAAAAATAAGAAAGGATATGATATACATAAGAAAGGGATTTTGTTTGGGGAGGAGGAAATGGTTTTGGTAAAAGCGGAGGTAAAAAAATCGAAGTTTGATTATAGATATCAGGGACCATATAAAATAGTAAAGAAAATTTCGGATGTCGTATACTTAGTCGAGATAATTAGGAATTCAAAATTAGTTAATGATTATAAACATGTTAGTCAGATAAAAAAAATTAAAGATAGGATTACTTAAAGTATAGGAAGCAAGGTGTTGTTATTTTAAGTTAACTATAATTAGATAAAAATAAAAAAATAATATGATAGGTTAAGAGAAAGGAAAAAAAAATCAAAATCGGAATGAATAATACGAACAAGAATAACAATAACAAAAACAATAAACAAAACTAACAGGCAAAAAAAAAATTGGTAGAAAAAAAACAACGGAAGTAACGAGATCCAAGTATGTATAAATTGTAGTGAACACATTAGGTAGTGAATAGTTGCTTTGGAACAATAGTAAGTGGTGCATAAGTGATTAAAAGTTTTTTTTTTTTTTATATACCGGGTTATTCAAGTTAATTATACGTATTTTCAAGAAAACAGGTCGTATTAAATAGGTATTTATTATATTAATTATTGTCGGTGACGTATTTTCTAAATTGGTGTAGTTAGGTATTAGAGACAAATAAAATAGGCATTGAGAAAAATGTGGTACTATAATATTGTTAAGATTATGTTTGGGGTAGTGGTATTCTATACGTGGGGAGCGGATACGATGGAGAATATTAAGATTATTAATAATCCAGGTATATATTTTGAGGATATCTCGTCCCTTAAAATTATAACTGCTAGGTGGAACATGGTGACATACTACAATTTAACAAATTTCGATAACAAGTATGTGCTAATAAATAATTATGTGAGTTCTATTGTTAATATTTGCGAGACTATTGGATATAGGAGTAAGGATGTTAACTCAACGTGTATAGAGTTTAAGGCTATTAATAATCAGGTATTAGAAAAAATTAGAAAAGATAAAAATACGCTGGAACAATATTTAGCAACAGATGGGAATTCGAGAAGAAAAAGAAATTCGTACTTTGGGGTAGTAGGGAAAATTCAAAAAACTTTGTTCGGGGTGTTAACAGAAGAGGAGGGGGAAGAGTTTGCAAGTAAAATTAAAGAGTTGGAGGACAAACAATTACGAATAATGATAATAGAAAAGGAGCAGGCGATAGTGTTTAAAAACACAATCAATAGCGTGTCACAAACTTTAGCGGACTTCCAAAATTTTAGAAACACTGTTGGGGAAAAAATTAATAATATTTCGGTTGAATTACAAAAGCAGAGCACTGAGCTTAGAACATTTCAGATAGAGGAGGTAATTTTGAAATACGCTGCGACTATTAATACCATAGTTACACAACTTTCGATCGAGACAGACATTTTGTTAAACGCCATAATTAGTGCACACAAGGGGGTCATTAGCTCACATTTAATCCATCCATCAGTACTTTTGGAACAACTTACTAGCATAAAAAATGTACAACCGTCGAATGTAGATTTGCCGTTAGATATAAATATCAATAATTTCTTTGAGTTTATAAAAATTAGCCAGGTAAACATCATTTGTCACAAGAATGTGTTAATCTATACATTAGGAATTCCGTTGGTAGAGAAGTTGGTCTTCAGGTTGTATAGAATAATTAATTTACCAGTACAAGTTGAGGGGAACAATTTTGTTTTTCTGCAGAACACAGCAGATTATATAGTTATCGATAGTAACAAACAGTATTATGCATTCCTGTCACAGGATCAATTAAACCAGTGTAAGGGAGGGAAACATGGGTATCTGTGTGAGTTGACAATACCGATATTGACCAATACTAACGATTGTGAATTTTTGATGTTTACGCAGAGTGAGGTTCCAAAAACGTGTCAAGTAAAAGTGGTAAGGATATTTAGGGAAATCTGGCACAAATTAAGTCAAACTAACACATGGTTGTATGCAACACGTGAGCCAAAAAAATTAGTTATTAATTGTCAAGAGAAAATTTCAGAGATAGTAATCGAGAAGACAGGGTTACTTAAATTAGATCCACAATGTAAGATTCATACAAAAAACGCAGTTATTTTTGCTACCCAGTGTAAAAACAAAAATGTAACTACCGATTTTATACCAACATTTAATTTACCGTACCAAATTCAATTAAATTTAAGAGACAATGTGAAGATGTGGAATTACAGTATTATCAACGAAAAAGTACCCCAATATTTTTCAGATTTAAAGGATAGTGCCAAAGCTATCGAAACGATAGACCAGGAAATTACAGAAAACTTAAAAACGAATTCACAAAAACAAACCAATTTGACCCACTCTTTTAGTATTGGGAGCATAGGAATTATAATCATAATCACAATAGTATGGAAACTATGTCGGGGGTGGGGAAAAGGTAGTAAAGCTAATAAAAAAAAAGAAATTTCGGTAACCTATCAGATTCACTCGCCGGAAAATCCCATACTGAACAATACGAAGAAATAATAAGAATGGAAAAATTTATTAATTATGTCATGTGTTATATAAAATAAATTATGTTTGAGTTGCAGGAAAAATACGTCAAAAAAATATATACATATAAAAATGTACAAAAAAAATATTGTGTAAGTATTAATTATAGGTGGACTCATATGAAAAAAGTGTGTGAAAAAAAAACAGGGAAAAAAACCCCCAATATGTAGAGAAAAAAAAGTGTATTAATTTTAATATTAGAAAATAAGGAGATGAAAAATATATGTTTTATATAAAATAATAAAAAAAAAATGTATTAGTTTTAATATTAGAAAATAAGGACATGAAAAATATATGTTTTATATAAAATAATAAAAAAAAAAAAATGTGTATTAGTTTTAATATTAGAAAATAAGGAGATGAAAAATATATGTTTTAAATGAAATAATAAAAAAAAAATGTATTAGTTTAATATTAGAAAAAAAGGTAAAAACCAATAATGATTATCATGTCTCAGGTATAACGTAAATTATGTTTCAGTTGTAAGAAAATATTAATAATAAATATAGGTATTAATGTTGAATGTATATATGAAAATTAGGTTTTTGTATATAGGTATAAGAAAAAATGTATTTAATATAAGATGATATATTAAGCAAAATTAACATAATAACGGTGATTAAATAGTAGAAACAATGTATTAGTGGTAAGGGGATATAATAAGGTGGCAAAATGTGTAAAAATGATTAGTTAAGGTGAAATGTATAGTATATGTTATATTTTGTGAAAATGTATTATAGTTGTTGAGACAATGTACCAGGTACCTACAGCCAGAACCATGCAACCTTCCAAGTGCCACGACATATAAAATCATATCATTGGTCAACTACAGGCAGCGGAAATAATAAATTACAATGGATATGGATTCCAGTCAAAGGGGTCATATGGTATGATGCAGGCGTTTGAAGCTGACTAATAGACATATACATGATATGAGATGATATAGGGTATATATCATTACTGGTAAAAAAAAAAAAAAAAAAGAAAGAAAAAAGAAAAAAGGTGTGAAGGATGTGGGTGATTGCTGCAAAGGTATCATGGTACAATATTGTTTATGGGATGTTTTTTTTTGTTTGTTCCTTGAGTTTTTAAAGGGAGGGGGTAATGTAGCGGATCACATATGTGTGAGGCCGTTACATGGTATATAGTTAAGTATAAATAATAAGCAAGTATAGATGTAGATAATAATAAGGAAGAAGGCTTACACAGTATAGTCATCCGGGTACACATATATGTACACATTATGATATAGTATAAAAGAGACACATAATGTTAAGTTGGTTAGTTCTGGGACCAGTACAGCAGCCCGCTAACCAACGAACTCCGGAGGACGACACTGTAAGTAAGTCTTTCGATATTTAAGTAGTTTATAAGTATCCGTATTGAGTAATTATTGTATGAAGATTGTGTGTATGTAATTTAAGAATATTGTTTAATTGTTGTGTGATAATAAATATATTCTATTCAACTTGATATTTGACTAAACTTTCCTGAAGCTCCCGAGTTACGGTAAAAATATAATTCATAGGGCTCTGAAAACCCTCACTGAATTATTTAAATATAACAGGTTCCCTAACCCCGTTACAATATTGTTGCCTTTGCTCGTGATTGGTAGATACTTTTAAGGACATAATATAAATCGAGAATGTATTATTGTGTGTGTGTGGGAGTATAAGTTTCTCAGCTTATCTGTAGTTTTCTACAGCTTTTCCGTAATTATATATCTGACGCAACGTTGATTGGTGGTAAAACGCGTTTTCCGAACCGAGAGGAAATAATACTGCTTCGACATTGTTATTTTAAATTGGGTCCATTATAGATCGCGCGTCCGTCCTAAACCACCAAACCGTACTTACATATACAGTTTTTTTGTCTTTTTTTTTTTTTTCATCCCAAAAATAGGTTAGCGCCGACAAAATTGGAAGCGTCTGTTTTTAAACGTTCCTCGCATCTGCCTCCTCGCGTATACCGTATAATAGTAATAATAACAATAATAATAACAATAATAATAATAATAATAATAATAATACCCTCATCGCCCTTTTTCCCCGGCAACGCTTATATTTTATACTATTATATTATTATACGTACATACAACGCACGCGCGTCGCCTTCTGTATCAGGTAACTGTTTAAAAACCGTAAAGGGCGCAAGAGAACGGTGGCGGTGGTGGTGGCGTCTGATGCATTTATATTGCGCCGTTTAAAAGGTAATTTTCCCGCGAGGCACTCGGCGTAAATCAAATTTACAACGGTACACATAGTCGCTGCAGCTCGCCTTTTTATTTTACCCGTAAAGGCCTAACGTCATTTTACGTAAATGCTCCGACAACGTCGTATATGAGTATAGTAGCTAGTTGTCGCATAATATTTTCGGCGTGCAGATTACACACCCACACCCACCCACCCACATCGTTATCGCCTTGTCCGTTATTGCACCAAGTCGAGTCGGTACGTCATGTTTCACCACCGCTGTGGCCTCCGCCATCAAAGACAGCTTTTGACACACGATGATGTACGTACAATAGGTACAAAAAGTATTCTTATCACGTGCCAACGTATTGTTATCAGGTACTATATGACACTGTGCATAGAGCATCCGGATCATTTCCCTCATTCTTCGATTCGCTTACTCTTATCATAATGTAATATTATTATTTGTCACGCTCAACACACGGCGAAACCCAACGCCGGGGCTAAACCGCACGACCGCACCATCAAAACCTATTACCATGGTCGTGTTTTCGTCGGCAAACACCGCCTTGGCGCTTTGCAGGTGAGTATACTCGGGAGGCTCAACGCCTGACATGTCGAGTCGATTAATTCTAATTGATACCATTTTTATTATTATTATTATTATTATTCCAAAATCTGAAAAGTATAAATCGTTCTCGGTTGCTCTGGTATAAATTTGTTAGTCTTGTTAAAAAAAATTGTATCATTATTATTTAAATTTAATAAAAAAATACAGCGATACACAAATAAATCTGTAAGAAAATTGGAAACCATGATATAATTTCTCGTGGTGGTGGCCTAAATGACGACAGATCGCATTGTGTGCGAAGATCAAACCACATAATCGGGACCAGCTGAAAACTGTTTGAATTTTGGATTGTGCGAATCCAATCAGTTTATATGTCTTATTCGTTGCACCTGCACTTACGCCTAACGCTATCGCAGTGTGCTCGGTGTATTTGCATACATAATTTATCATCAGTTATATTGTTTTTAGCTATTCTATGGTTAAGATGGTTTCCTTATTCTAACCGATTATATTATTTTATATTATATTTATTTCACTACTTAATGATAATTTTTATTTTTTTTTTCTGCTAATACACATTCGATAAAACGTATTATATTATTAAAAAAAAAACATTTTGAACAAATAAAAGCTATATAAATATTATGTTATCCAACTGCAGCTTGGGCAGCTATATATTATTTTAATTTTATTAGAAAATCGTAGTCGTAGGTACTTGGGATTTTTGAAACAAACAATAATCATTTAAAACATTCGAATCGCTGTGCATTAAAATTAACGAAGAATTTTAGTATAAAACGTGCATGGTAGATACTACAATTATTGTGAAATACGTAATTAACAAAAAAGTGAAAAGTCTAGAAACACAATCTTTAGACACCTAATCGGATAGAGTTGATCATGACTAGTTCATATAGCCAACATAGGAACGATAAAACTATTCATAAACTGATTCAAATTTCCCATATACTTTACATTGTCACATATTATATCCATATACCTATAGTCAGTAATTTACACACCAATAATGGTCAATTATTTTTCATTGAAAACATAAAAATATTATGTAATATGATGTGATTTGGGTTTTAATTTTTTTTTAATTTCAACAAACAATGGGTGTTATAACCAACCAATGAATACTTTTTTAATTGTCATATTATAACTTACATGTCAAGGTCTCACAGTACACGGTATTATCATTGCTGTATTTGTTTCACAATTGTTTGTTACAGGAGTAAGGACACTGGGCAGCTGTAGATTGCAATAATAAGTGCACGCTGCGCGTTTATTATATGTCTGTTCATTATAACATTGTATTACAATATTATACTCTATCTCCCATTCTATACGTATATGTATTTACTTGGGTTGCATTTTTCTAGACAATAATAAACAGTTTTCTTGGCCCCTTGATACAACAACTTTAGTATTATCACCACATCAAAGATGTTCTCTCGCTAATCGTAATTTATAAGTGTTGTTTTTTGTTTCAACTTACAAGCATCTAGACTATATTATATTTTACCAGACAAACGAATCATCTTCATACACAAACATTAAATGTTACACTACGTTGAAGGTCTTAGATGATTTTTGCATAATAATATAACAATCAAAATTTGATTAGTTTATTTTTAGAATATACTGATAGAATTTAATGTCGACCCGTATAAAATTGTTTTCTTCTGATTGGATAAATTTTCAAATTCACTGAGATTGTACGGTTTATAAATAACTGTAACTGGATGTTTCATTACGATTTTCCACAGATTTTGTTCTACCGTTGTATAAACATAACGTACAACGCTATGTCACTATAGTACAGATTAACGAGTTGATTAATTTTCAAGTGTATTTATTGGGTAAATTTGTATAACGAAGGGTATTAAGAAATCAAAAAATAATAATAATTAACATTAATATTATAAAATAATCAAAAAGACTTGCTTTTTTGAAAGCTAAATTTGATTTGTTTATATTGGAAAACTTTCATAATATTTTGTAAAATTATTAATTATTATAGCATTTAACTATACATGGTATTTACTTTTAATATCTAATACTATTTTTAATATATATAAAAAATATTGTATATGAATTTTACCAGAGTAAAACCTAATAACCTAATCACTAATTGCAATTCCTAATCTCATCTAACCAATGAAAATAGTATCTAATTGAAAAAAGGGACATTTTGAAATTAGAAA